CGAATTTTTCGAGCGATTTTAAAATTCGCGGCGATCGGGCGATAAAAATCGCTCGTGTGCCCCTACCTTAAGCCTGCCGTGCACGTTGTTGTGTCCTCCCCATTAGTTATCATCAATATTTATTATCGTCGTTATTATTATAATGCACGCGTTAACACGCGTCTAAGCCTGCCGCGCGCGTCGTCGTGTCCTCCTCAGCCGTCCGACCGCGTAGAGATGTGTGACTTCACGCTGCCGAACGAGTCTCGCTGGAAGCCGATGTCGTCCGACGCCATCCGCTCGCTGCCGGCGCCACCTGGCTGGACGGCGTTGCCGCTGCGTCCGCCCGTGCTCGACGTGCGGCTCGTCGCCGCCGACCTGGAGCTGCAGCTGCAGGCTCTCGTCGCAGAAGTCCGGCGGGTGAGTGCGTAGGGATGCGCGCAGCGCGGAGCGATCAGGCTGGACCGTCCTAGATGTAATATAAACAGGAGTGTATAATATAGAGATCTCTATACTATATACTCCTGGCTACACCTGGAGGGAAATGGAGCGGATGGCGACCAACCGAGCGACATGGAGGGAGTTCACAAATGACCTATGTCGCCCAGGAGACTGAAGGGTTACAGAGAGAGAGAGAGAGAGAGAGAGAGATATTATATCTCTATACACGATCTCTATATATCTCTATATTATTATGAATATGTACGTAAATAAATATGTAATATAAATATGTTGGGAGGCCAGTTATGGGCCCCTTTGTAAAATCCTGTGAAGCCATTGTGAATGTTGTGACATTATAACAAGTGCTAGTCATACCTCGCGGCTACGCTACTAGGTACTGTTAGGACTGCAAGGTATTATTGGATTCTGATTATAGACGAATGATGTCGTAACGTTTGCACACAAAGCATTGTGCAGAAGTTCTGGCGTCCTAGACTTACGATAGTCATAACCAGAGATGCCAACCACTACGATTTATTTGTATTTTATACGAATTTCGATTCCTTTTGCACCACTACGACCAGTTTGTATCAAACTACGAATTTCACTGTGATAGAAAAAAAAAGTCAATTATTGTCATTTTTTGTCTATTTAACCGCGGAGGACTTGTGTATGCCCCTTAAGCTGTGGTTGCGTGTTGTAAAGTCTACAGCCAGCGACCTAGCGAAGTGAACTGAAACGTGCTGTTTACACAAACCCACAAACCAACACTCGAAACACACGCCAGTGAAAACATAACCTCCAATAAGTGTGCTAGTCATACTTTTTGTGATATATATCCTAATTGGTAGCTTATCGAACTTCTATTGAATTCAAATATATGTAAAAGTAATGCTATATCATGGATACATTACCTAAAGTAAATAAATAATTATGGTGATGCAAACGGATTACGTTATCAGTATGAATGTAAACGTGTTATGTAGATAGTACTATGTAGTGACAAATGTGAGAAGCATTATATACGTACTTGCCCGCGACGGGTACGCGCGGGCGGGTACAGGGCCTAGCTCTAGTAACTATAGCCCGCGTACGTTAGGTACGTTATAGTTACTAGTAGCTACGTACAGCCCAGGCTATGATGATGCCTGAGTTATTATTTTAAGAAAAAAAAAAAAAAAAAAAAAAAAAAAAAAAAAAAAAAAAAATTAAAAAAAAAAAAAAAAAAAAAAAAAAAAATCTATACAAGCTTCACCCGCGCGCTCACACAATAATGGCCAGTAGCAAAGTAAGGTCACGGATAGAAACAGCAGACATATAATATATTCACTCGCATGCGTGTTGATGTCCGCGCACGAGCTAGAACGCCTAGCACCTTGACACCCACCACAACAAATCAACTAAATTGCCACGAGAAGCAAAGTATTCACGTAATTTAGACACTGAATCATTTATATACATATATACAGCCAGCGAGATCGAGAGAGTGGTTTGTGTGTGGTGTGTGTGTGTGTGTGTGTGTGTGTGTGTGTTGTGTGTGTGTGTTGTGCGTGTGGAAAAGTGCGAGAGAGAAAATAGAGAAGCAGACAGACACATAGAGACAGAAACAGAGCGCAGAAACATAGACGCAGAGAGGAGAGAGAGAGAAGAGAGAGAGAGAGGAGAGAGAGAGAGAGAGAAAGAGAGCGATGGAGAGACGAGGAGATGAGAGAGAGAGAGAGAGAAGCGAAGAGAGAGATAGAAAGCGCAAGACAGAAAAAAAGAAAGACAGAGCCTACACATACTGCAGTATTATACTTCGTAGCACTAGTTTCTGATATTTCTTCTACGAGTAAGAGGCACAAGACCGCACCACGATGACCAACAGGCGGCGAAATCCAAGAAATCACAAATAGAAAAAGAAAGAAAGTAAAAAGTAAAGTAGGTGAGAGACCAGCCAGACCGAACGGCTGACGGCATCAGAACGGAAACGGCACAGGCACTCTGTCTACACACCCGGCCTCGCCTCAGCCACACCTTGGAATACTCATTCAGAATGATTAATCCAAGGCCACTATGGCATGTTTTCTGTTTCATAATTCGTTTACATATATATAACATTCACGGATCGAATGATTCGATTCACGGATCGAATCATTCGATTCTCTTTTTCTGATATAAAATCAAATAAATGCCGATATAATCCAAATAGTTATATGTGATAAGATCGAAGTTATTATTATAAATCAAATGTTATATGTGATAAATCGAATGTTATATGTGATAAAATTCAACCATAAACCAAATCGAATTATGAAACAAACAACATGCGGCGGCATACACGTACGCGTCCGATACGGACTCAAAAGGAGTGCGCTGCCCTCGTATTTACAGGCGATGACAGATCGCGGGGACAGCGACGACATCCCTGGCTGACAGCGTGACATCGCTGGTGACGAGCGCGCTGACACCGCTGGTGACAGCGACGCATCCTGGTGGACGGCGAGACAGGATCGGAGGTGACGGAATGCCTCGCTGAACGCGCCTAACGCTTCGCCGCGTCGCTGCATCTATCTGCTGCCCCGCCTACGCGCGGCCCGCCTCCGCCCGAGACCCTGCGGGCATACCCCTACTGGGAAGCCTCCTCAGCTGGCGAGAGTGTTCGTCTATCTAACTTACACTGCGCCGAGAAGCAGAGTTACCCAGGTTACATATATATATATATATATTAATATATATATATATATATATATATCATTACTATAGAGTATATAATAAAGAGCGGATAGAGCATGGATCCGCACTTTTGGCCTAGAATTGTTGAAACTTGCCCAGCGCTACTACGTACACGCAGATAAACCTAATTAACACATATGATATATATATATATATATATGATATATATATATTGTACTGCACCGTGGGTATAACCAGTGGGTATAATCCACCGGGAATATGAACGGCATTCTTGCAACCAGCGAGGCATCTTCAGCGTCTACTCGGGCAGCAGCTGGTGGTTGTGCTGGCGGAGGCAGGGTGGCGCGCGAAAGGCCTTCAGCAGCGGACGAATTCAGCGGCCACCCATCCGTCACCATGCTTCAGAGCACATGCGATCGGAAACGTACGGTGATCATAGATATCCTACACGCACGCACCACGCGCGCGCACACACATATACGCTCGCTCTCTCTCGATTACACGCTCGCGCACGCACGTAACGCACCACTCGCAACGCGCACGGTACAACACTCACACCACACGGCACACACGCACACACGCGCTGCCAAGCTCATACCTCACGCGCGCCACACACTCACTCACTCACGCACGCAGCGCGCAATACCCTACAGGACACGCACCGCACACAGACCTTATAATTGGTCCCTTGCTCAATATATAAACGACTGCAGTGACCATCGATACTATGCTATCAAGTTAGCCACGCGTGCCCACCCACCTCTCGCTTCAACGCTGCGTAAAACGCCGCACCTTCCCAGATGTGTCTGAGTCCTAACATTCATTGTGACTTTCCCTGTGTCCCCGGATGGCCCGCGCTCTCATGCTCGCAGGCGCATCTTTCAGACGAGGAGCCAGACCGGTGGCCCGCTGGCGCATAGCCGACACGGCCAAGCCTCCTGCCATTTTTCCGCAGCCACTCGGCATTGCCTGAGAGGGGGCTCTCGGAAGGGAGGGCCGTATCCGGCGCGGCCAATGCCCTGCCTACCCGCCAGCAGCATAGAACACCGTACGCTTGCTGCGCCGAGTAGACCAGCATGAATGCCTCTGCGTGCGTGCAGAAAAATGGTCCATTCATATGACCGGTGGATTATGCCAATCTGGTGAGATGAATAGAACCCGCATACACTCCTGAAAGCCTCGTGCCATACGAAGAGTCTTCGTACTATAAGTAGCGCTATATTTATATAATATATTTGTGGGTACAAATTAGGGTTTTATCTGCTGTGGTGTGTTTGTGCGGGAACAGCGGCGGGCTGCACGCCGTCCGCTTGCCTAAGTTTTCAACGTTTTAACCGAGCACCCAAATACACAGTGCGTGAGTGATCGTCTGAAAATCCCGGTAGTTCGTCTCAAGTCTGTTTGTGTGGACTCTTTCTTTAGGTCCGCTTTAAATTGTTAAATATACTCCCCCCGTAATAGTTTCGGAGAGTAGTTGTGGTTGTGTGTGCTTCTTAATGTTCTCCGTGACTCATTCCTAATGGTCCTGTAATATGTCCTCTTAAGGTAACTTGTGTATATAGATATGTGTATCTACTCTCTAGATCGCGTTGACCTTTCCACTTGTGACCTGAAATGTCGTAGTGTCTGAAGATGTTTCTGCTCAGTCTGTGACCTTCTTCCCTAGGCCTGAAATGTACCCTATTGTCTAAGATGTAATCGTTTCGCTCTCCATGTTTGTAACCTTTCTTCCCTTAGGCGCCCACGCGGGGTGTCATGAACAATGTCCGTGGTATGTCTGTAAGCATGTGTTCGCTCAAGTGATCTGTAGTCATTCTTCTTCCTAGCACGAACGATAGTCTATGTCTGAAGATGTGTTCGCTCAGCCGTGACCTTCTTCCTAGGCCTGAAATGTTCCTATTCTGAGCATGTTCTTCGCTCAGTCCGTGGACCTTCCTAGAGCCCCTGAAGATGTCCACATGTCTGAGATGTGGTTCGCCTCAGTCTCGTTGACTTCTCCTAGGCCTGAAATGTCCTATGTCCTGAAGATCTGCTTCGCTCAGTCTCCGGATGGCTTGCTTCTAGGGCCTGAAATGTGCGTTTACTGTTCTAAGATTGTTCGCCCTTCAGCTCCCTGACCTCGTCTTTCCGTATGCCATGATAATGTCCGTGTATTGTCTTTGAAATGGTTTCGCCTCAGGCTCCGGGTCCGGCGGGAGGCGCGCGAGCGTAGGCGGGCAGCGATAGTAGCAGCGACTGCGGAGCGTTCAGGGGGGCGTCGGTCGTGTGCATCCAGTCCGTCCGGTGGTGGATCCCTGTCCTTG